TCGATATTTGTTATTATAGTTATGTACATTGTACATGTATTATATACATATTGTTATTTTATATATAAATAGGTATTATAATTCAGTTGGTACAAAGTAACATGGTAGTTTGAAATGCACTATGCGCGGCGCATCTCGTTTTAACGATTTCAAATCAGAATATTATGTTATCAGAGTGAATTTAACTATTTCTATTTTCAGTATCAGGATAAGAATCAATAAATCATAAATATTTGATATAAATGTAAGTTTAGTTAGTTTACCATTGATTAAATAGTAAATATTGAATCTTTGAGTACATGTTTTAAGTAACAAACAAAATAATGAAATAAAAAATAACAATAACAATAAAATACCTATGTAAACTTTGATAACTACTCTCTTATTCCATTAAAATTTCAATTTTCATCAGCCTCTCTTATTTGGATTTTATATAATATCACCGAAAACACTTTATTTTATAAGTAATAATTTTACTGTACACTTTAATTGATGAAAAACAAAAACAAATTTTCCAGCGTTTCAAATTATTTTCATTTTTTATTGACGCTATTTGAACGTTCTAGTTTTAAAATAATTACGTTTATTGATTCAATTTTGGGACCCAGCATTGTGTGGGCCCTGGGGGATGCGCAACCACTTAAGCCCTGTCCAGACACTGCACAAACTACATAATACACAATTAAATACATTCATAAATACTGTTTCGTCTGAGAGCATCCATGTGGGGTTGACAAATTAGTCGAAATATATTTCCTCTTTTATGGAAAATCAAGCTTAAAAATAAATACAATTTTACAAAAATGTATAGATAAGTTTTGAAGCTGAAATATCTTACTACAGATATACGGTGATAAATGAAAATATTGATTATACAAATAACAAAGACGAAAAATATTTTATAATATAAGCATTATGCACGTTGATTCAATTTAAGCATCACATTATGATTAATATTTTAAAAATCATGTTTGTGTTTATACAATATACTGCTAGGTATAAGGTTTTTGGTATAAATTTAAAGTTATAATTGTATGTACACAGTAGAAGTCACTATTACGCATCATGCATGACCTTAACTTTCACGTTGATAATATTATTTGCGTAACGGTCAAAAGAGAATCATTGAAAATGAAGGCATATGAATAAAATCATAAAAACCTTTGTTTTTGCATATTCTTATGAGTATGTACTTGTAATATGTAAAAACACAATTATTCAATAATAGTATTATACAACTAAAAATTAATCGAAAATAAATTCAAGAGTTCGATTCAATGATGGAGAACAGTGTTGTACCTATAATAATTTCAAACGTATGACGGTAGGTAGAGTCATGACGTAGGAATGACATAGATCGGATTTCATCTTAAATCTCGCCCGTGTAAGATGCAATTTCACTGTTTCGCCTACTTGAAACTGCGCCAGACCGAATAACGCATATTAAAGAATAATAATCATATTGTCTTCCCGAGATATAAGCTCGGTGTTAGCGCTTTTTATGACCGTCGACTTCTGTATTTTGGATCCCACGTTTAAAATAACTGCAGAAAAAAACGTTTAATATAATATTATAAACAGACCATAGAGTAGGCTACGAGATTAGGGTCAAAAATGTATAGAAAAAACTTTATTTTGCGCCCTATTCCCACGGCCCGCCCTGTATATTATTTTTAACGAAATCATGAAATTTAATAGTTTAAGTATAAAACAATTGAATGAATTGAACGAACCTTAACTTAAATCTCAGCATTTTACAGTACAGATTTGACACTATTGAGAGTCAACAGTAATTATCGTTACGGCCTTATAAAACCTGTATAGTGGAGCTAATTTTTTTGTTTTTTATAATATAATATGATATTATGTGTTATTATATTTCCTGATAAACAAAAAAAAGGCTCTCTCTAATGGAACTAATATCTCTTTTTATCCGCTATAACTGCAGCACAATAACGATAAATCACCGGCGAAAATAAAATATAAAATTAGATCATAAATTGGACAGCGTACCATTAAGAGCAGTACCGTTGTGTCCAAAAGCAATTAAAGTTTTTATTTGTTTTTTATTTTATTAATTATTTTCGCAGTTTAATTATTGATGGATTTTTTTCTGTCAACCAACGTACAAACTGCAAGTCCAACCAAATAATTAAAGTCATTAATTAGGTTATCGTGAATTATGTGAAATGATTTTTTTTTGTATGTATTTTTTTTTTTTGGAAAAGACATTTTTATCAAAACGAAACGAAATTAAACAAATTGCACAACTTCTATACACCGCTTCTCTGTAGTCGGAATGAATTGCTTGTGCTAAGCTTAAATTATATATATGTATACACACCAGAAACTTTTTATTAATACTTTAAATTGTATAATATATAAAGAAAAACGGAAAAAAAATCATAAAATAAATAAAGACAAATGCTTTTACAGTGATTGGAATAAATACGATGTTGCATGTTAGACACAGAAAAAAAAATCGTCTTTAATTACTACGGTTGTTCGGAAATTTGTTTAATGATATAGTTTTTTCATTTCTTTCATTTTATCTCTCTCTCTTTCTTGTCGCTATCCCAAGAGCTACGGTTTTACTATATAGACGGACAATTATTGTATAAAATAGTGACAATGACTTATTTTGAACAGTAAACCGTTCATTGCTGGCTTTGAAAACGACCACTGTTATATTAACTTAATTTTACTCAATAAAAATATAAAAACTGAGAAACAATTTACAATAATTATATTAGATGTTTTATTTTTGAGAGACAAGGCGAAAACTCATAACGGTACCGTTAAACAATTAGATTAGGCGTGTTCGAGTTTTCAGTTTACTGCGATGAGTCCTTATACACTGGCCCGAGATACAGATATTTCGTCTTTATTAGGTACATTTTCAGTCGCTTTAAATAATAACTTAAATAAATATACAAGATACATATTATGATTTTAATGTTGGATATTTAATTTTTACATTTTATGATGTAAATAATAATTTTTCACCATCTGCCCATCACGGAACTTTCATTAAAATATTGAACTGTCACAAGATCAATCAATGTTTTTTTCAGAAGATCACTTCTATATTTTATAAAATTATTTCTGTTGGTTTGGTTTTTGTTATGTACATGAACTGTGCTTTAGACTTCTCGAAAAATAGCACAAACATGTGGAGTTTTACCAAGAACACTATAACTATAAGCTCTCTTCGCGTATGTCACTAATCATTTAGCATTAAAATATATTCTGCTGTACTTATGCAGTCATTTTTGAAGGGTGCGGTCATTGATTTTTTTTCCAGACAATCCTATGCAGGTTTTTTTTGATTTTAGTTTTCGCAAAATCCGTCATGAATATAGCGTAAGAATAGTTTTAATATGTTTCCGTTCGTATTACACAAACATTAGGTATATTTTGATCGGGAAACATTTTAAAGTCAACCGTGCCTCACCCACCGTGGTAGATATCTGCACGGTCGTCGGAGATGCCGTTCCCATAGTCGGTCTAGAATTTAGCTCGGCAAAGTCGGAATTCCTTAGCCACCCACTATGGTGATAAATGTGCCCTCGCACGTCGAGCAGCACCCACGAGCCGCCGATTCGAGCAATATTATGATAATTATTATCGTCTAATATTATATTGTCACCGTTATTATTGTTGAACAATGATGTATAAATGGTAAATCTATGCAACTTTATTGTGTGTATATTATGTATACGATAGAGGACCCGACGGCATTGTGTTTTTCCGTCCAGCCGGCCGACCGGGTGTGCGAATCACGATGGCGGAAAAATCACCAAACGCCATCGGATATTTGGGAAATAGTTGTACACAGATTATCCCGAGAATCCAAGCGGTCGTTTGTGTAATCTGTAAGCACCGAAATTCCAGAATAATGCTGCTGGCATTCCGGGTAGGAGGGGGGGGGGCGACGATCGTGTTATAATAATAAATTAATAATAATAATAATAATCATCGTGATGATGATGATGATGATTATAATAATAATAATACTGTTATATTATTATAACGGCAATAAACCGATATCGCGATTCGCGGCAATAAATGCGTACAATAGTAATAATATGTGTCTGTACAAACACGTTAACGATGTTTCGAATAAATACTCCGTCTGACAACCATCCCGATACGAGATCCGCATTAATACACGTCACACGACTTGCAATGATAAATACATGACATTTATTTCGGCATATCTAGTCAATTATTGTAATGGTGTGGGAGGGGGGTTGGACCAAGGGTAACTACAGTGAGTCTACTTAAAAGCAATCGTTTTGAATATTATTCGTGTACTCAACAGCAGTATGTCGAGTAATATTAAAGCCTTCGTATTGGTCGTACTTATTCGATTTGTTGAATAATATGCTTATTCGGATAATTTGATTAACCGTATTCGCGTATACTTTATACACATACAGTGAAACCTCTAAATATCGGACAGTGTCGGTTGCCGTGATTTTGTCCATTATTTAGAGGGAAACAAATTTCGGTTAAGAAAGATTTCACTGTAGTTTAATCATATATGATCTTATATTAATCCAGCTATAAAATATATAACACCTATGATGTAACAGTTGTCTCATATAGTTTATCAATATAAAGATCAAAAATGTATTTTAAACTTTCACAGAAATTCACGATCGTTAACATAACGTTATGTCCATAATATATCTCTAATTAAGAGGAAAAAAATTGATTCCATCTAAAGGTTTAAATTTTGAACATTTAAAATCATTGTTAATATGGAATTTATGGTTTATTATAAAGGTCGTGCTCGAAGCTAATTTTCGGAACGGTTTTAACATCATAATATAATTGGTATAATATTATGTTACATTATATCACTATTATTATTCATCAATGCAACGTCAACAAAACGTTGAATAACGTATACGCCTCAATAGCATTATGCTAATATCAATACCTACTAATATAATAACAATATAATGCAATGTGCGGTTTCCATATTGTTTCAGAATTCGCCAAGAGAAGAACGGAGGCGCGTGGTGCCCAAAAGCGCAAATCAGCAGCGAAGTAAGAGAATATCTAGAGATCGACCTAGACGAAGACCACCTGGTCACGTGGACCGAAACGCAAGGCCGATGGGGTAACGGTCAGGGACAAGAGTTCACTGAGGCGTTCACCGTCGAGTATTGGAGAAAGTCCATTGGCCGATGGGTGGAATACAAAGACTCAAGAGAAGGCAGGGTACGTATTTAATGTAGCTAGACATTTTTCTAGTGAAACGTGTTGGAACTCTGAACCTTACTGCAGCTAGCAAGAAAGGAACGTCAACAGAGATGAATATGAGATTGAAAATGAATAGCTAGTTGGTTGTGAGTAGCGAACGATCAGAGAGGCAAGACAAAAAAATTTCTCGACTGATTGGGTTGTAGTATTGTGAATTTTAAACACAGTCATGGCTTAGAATACTGCGGTATAATTGAGGGTTCTTAAAAAAAAAGGTATTTAATAGGACTGCATATAAAGAAGTATACACTTTTTAGTTTTCAGCACATAACTGTACTTTAACTTAATGCATGTAGCAAAATCAGAATATTAAACGATTTATGCAAGCCTGGATTAAGGGGGCGGGGGGCATGCCCCGGAGCCCACAACCGATATTGAACAATAGCCCCCTGGCGGGTAGTACGTTTCCTATTATATATGGATAATGGATATATTATTATAGTGCCCAAAATTGTCCTAAACCGGGCTTGACTTTACGTCTTTTATTTGTATTAATTATTTGTGCCTTTAGGACTAGAAATATTTGAATACATTTACAATGCCATATAACTTAAAAGGATACGTATATTTACGATTATAATTATCTAATTTCAAACAATTGAATTGTAATTAATTTTATTAAATTGTAATATTTATAAGAACAATATTAATAATATCTGTTTAACTTCGACGCTCAGAAACCCAGATAAACGTTGTACTTAATCATTCAAAATATACCAGATGCTTATTAAAATTAAATCTTGACCGGAATCATTATGGAGTCTTCCGGGTATATAGAATTAAAACAACTAATAAAATATGATTATTATTTATTATTGTTCCCTTCGTAAACATATTTGATAAAATTCTCATTAAATCACATAAAGTTAGAATTTGAAAACAATCAATGTTTTCATTCAATTTTCAATGTTTGCCCTGCTAATGGCTATTTTAAAAATTCAAGCAACATTCATTTTTGAGAGATTTCATAGAGTCTATAGATTATAATTTATAATCTATAACACATAATATGTTAAATTAGTAATAACGTACAATTCTTAAAAAAATGTGATTAAAAACAAATTGATTTCATTCTAAAATTTAAGTAGTCTTTGAAACTTTTAAAAGTGTTGTTACGTTTTAAATAATAATTTTGTGAATTAATATAATATTAAGTAAATACAATAATTAAGATCGACATGAAAAAGTTTGAAAACAAATTAATTATTACTGGCAGTGAGAGATTTCCAATAATAGGTACTTGCTGAGGTTAGGTAATGCGTCTTAGGATTTACAACACTAACCGTTTTGGGTTCTATTTTATTTCAAGACTTAGGAAGAATAACACATTTTTGTTTTCAAGTTTCCCCGGCCATAAACTTATACGGCTAGTTTGTAGTACATTTCTAGAAGTTTTCCTTCTGCCCTTCAGTCTACCTTTTGACAGTACTGTAACTGTCATATTTGGCGAATACTCTCAAATTGGTTACTGCAGAATAAGTTTTAAGCTTCTATTTACTACTATCTAAGTTCTGTGTTTATATGCAAACATTTATCCTGGAGTTAAATTTCAAACCGTCTTCCAGCATTTTCTTTAATAATAAAAAATTAATTTAAAAACTTTGTGTTTTACTTAAAAAAAAGTAAAGTTTTGATTACGTACCTCATTGACATAAAATATAATTCATATTTAATTAAATTAAATATTTTAATCAGCAATGCCAATGCGTTTTGATAACTATTTATTTTAAATGTTTAACAGATAACTGTAATTGTAGTTGTTGACAATTATAGACTTTTTAAAGTATGATCAAATTAATTTTGAAGATATAAATTATTAAAACATTTTTATCAAATTAAAGTCCCAAACGAATTCATGAATATAACACAATTATAAAGCTCGTACAAATTCTAAAAAAGTCAATATTGTTTGTTCGTTACATTTTTAACGCGTAATATCATTGAATTACAAGCTAATGTGTAAACCTCACGAAACTTCAATACTTTTAGATAATAAACTAATAATCCAATAATTAATAATATCGATAGACCAAATACGTAGGTACACTAATTACTCATTCGAAATATGTTTCTATAAGAGTGAACACTTCAATTATTAATTTTAGCATGAATATGTTTTTTATGTACATTTATAAGATTTATTTATTTCATAATTGATTCCAGGTATTACCGGGCAATGTAAATACTTATTTGTCGGTCAATCAAGAATTGGAACTTCCATTCGTGGCGAGTAGAATACGTTTCGTGCCCTTTAGCGCACATCCTAGAACCGTTTGCATGCGTGTGGAGATCTACGGGTGTCCGTGGGAACGTAAGTACATTTATTTTCTATTACTAGTATAACGTATGACGTTAATCCTAAAAGGGTTAAAATATTTGGAGATTATGTCAAAAAGAAGATTGAGTACTCATTACATTAACTTAACCCCCTAAGGGCATTTTATATATACTGCTTGCCGTACACCGCGGTTAAGGTTAGGTTTCTCCTAAAACAATATATTAAAAAATAGTTGATACCCTAACGATATTTTTACTTTAATACACACACACAAACACACACCCCCCCACACACACACACACACACACACACACACACACGCATTTATATATTATATATATATTATGCAATGGGGTTGATTGTTTCAAAATGTACGTTTCGGAATATATAAATGTTCTCGTACCGCGTATGTATAGTTCTACTGCGTCCGTAAAACCCAAAGGACGTGTTGTTGTTATCCATTATATTATTTTTCTGTTAAATGAAACGTGCGAATATATTTTTGACTTCGATACATCAATGTCATGTAATAGAAACGAAATTCTCTGGCTTGGTGATTGAAATCTTCTTCACCACCTCGTGTTACAATGGTAGTAAAATATAATGATACATAAACAATGTGTTAGGTGGATTTAGTAACAGTATAAGTATACGCTAGTTAGGTATACCACTAATAAAGTGAAATTTTATATTCTCATCACATATAAAGGACTGTGAATTAAAAACGATTCGGGTTGCCCCGTATCATATTATTACATGACACGGTGTTAGATATTATGGCGAACTTGTGACATCCAGGGGAGGGGTTGAGGGACTTTAGCCTCTCCGACTTTGGAAATGTTACATATTATGTATTTATTTACATAATAAATGATTTATATTCTTTAAAATCTAATAATTTTAAATATTTGTAAATCAAAATGTGAACATTGTTAACCATCAAATCGTATGTTTAATGTTATTTATAATCACTTATGGTGTACTAAAATATCACATTTATATTTTTTTCCGAAAAACGTATCCCTCCCCTTATTTCGGATTTCTGGGTCTGGAACTGTTAGAACTTCTAAAATAATATACTCATCAGTATTACCTACTATTAACCGACACTGAGGATATAACACAATATAGGTAGGTGTACGTTATTATGTTTAAAACATTATAATTTACGCGTGATATTATTCTATAACCTCGAATAACGTCACATATTATAGTAATAACTTCTCCTCCGGAAGTGTAATCCCTTTACATACAGTCGCTTCTTGCTCAATACCCGTTTGCAATATTCGTTACCTATAAAGCTATAATATAACCCTGTGTGCAGGTACGCCATATCTATATAACATAACATTAACCCATATGACGCTCGGCCGTGTTCCTTTTACGTTATTTCCTGCCATTGTCCGGAAATGCACGTATTACAAACAATGCAGCTATTATTATCATCATCATCATCATCATCATCATCATCATCACTGCGTGTTCAATATAATATAATATTTAGATTGAATACGTTGTAAGCGGGCCATTTCTCGATCTATTTCTCTGATCTCAGCTGTTGAACAACAGTTATATATATATAGGTGGTATTATATTGAAACGTTCGATTTGTTTGTGCGGAGAAAATCGACAACGGAGCAGATTGCGTATCGTCAGAGTCGTGCTTTTAGTTTGGAGTTGGAGGTGGTCTAGGTAGCTCCGCGAGAAAATCGAAAAAAGTCTAAATGGCATTCTTTTTTAACGAAGTGTATTTTTGACGACGTAAAAAAAATAAAAATAAAATTCTACTGCGAGCAGTCGACAATACTGGACGGTGTCGCTGGTATACACTTTTAACGAGGTAATTTTTTAACGCTTCCGCACAAAATCACGTTCTCCGCAGGTTTTCTAAAGGCCGAGCGCGTGTTTCTCCGCCGCCGATAATATGCTTTTTGTCGAGCATTCACCGCGTCTTTATGTAACGCATATAATGTAGCCATATATATATGCACTCTGTGTGACTTATGCGTAGTACTGCATACGCGTATATATATATAATGGTCTTTACTATATATACTATGTACCTACGGCTGCCGGGGCCGTTAGCGTCGTTGTCGACGTCTGCGGCGCAGGAAACCGAACGTCGAACGTATAGTGGAACGGTGTCGTGGGCGGCGAGGCACGGAAATGCGTGGGGGGAGGGGGTGTATAAAGGGTTTTGTCAAAGGCCGTCCCTTCGTAATACGGAGTATTTGCGGCGATATAGTGAATAATATTCGTATAAACGTTTTCGCTACAACTGTGCAACGGGTTGCGCGAGCACACACACACATACACACCGATTATATATATATATATATGACTACATACATAAACACACACCAACCGTTGACTAATGGAGCCTTTGAACGGACGTTCGCATAATAGGCAACGGTTCCGCCTTCCGTCATCGTCGTCCCACAGTGCTCTCGCAGCACCGCACCGCGCCCCCCCCCCCCCCGTGACCTCCTCACCGCCATATATATTATTATTATTATATACGAAATATCACCGCTTTCGACCTTTAATACGGTTCATACATGTGACATGGGTATACCGTCGTCGTCATCGTTTTTGCGTGTAACGTTCGTCGACCAATTATTTATTTTATAATATATATTTTGCGTGTGCGTGTGTGTATGTGCTTCTTCAATTGACCGCTGTAATGTGCATGTATAATATATACGAACTGAAAAGCCAAAGCGGAGAATCGCAAAAACAAATCTCGTCGGTATACCTATCTACATAATATTATATACTATATTATCGTGAACCTGTAGCGCTCTCGTCGTTTGAACTGCAGTAATACTTAGGTATTATTTAGATGTTATGTGTAAATACAATTTTCCCCCCCTTTGTTTGGAAGTAGGGGAAGGGTTTGTGATTTTTACACCGACAGTAGATAATACATATATTTTATCAACTGCTTCTGAGCCTCAACTGACATTGTATACCAATTCTGGGACTCACGTGTTCAACAAACGATTATAAGAGTATATACATATATATAAAAGGTATATAAATATATCTATATAAAAGTTGAATCCGCGACGAACTATTTTGTCTGACGGTAAAAACTACTTAATTAGCAGACATTTACAACGGAATCATTATGATTATCACATCCAAGAACTCGTGTATATACGTCCAACAATAAATTCGAAACTTATAAGTTATAACAAGGTATATCATTACCATATTTAAAGACTGTAATTTGAGTGTTAAAGTACTTTAGAGTGCACGAAAGTCTGCTTATTACTGGCGAAGTTTACCGACTCAAAATAAAAGACAACTGCTTGTTATAAAGTTATTTATACGCTCACACTTTTTTTTTTTATTCATTCCGATGAAACAAATTTGTACCACTGAATCTTAAATTCTGAATATTCCTCCACGAGTAAATTACTATGTACTTAATACAAATACGGTATTATAATATCAAAAAAAAAAAATTTTTCACTCTCATATAAAAATATGATGTCTTTTTCTAGAAAAATTTATTTTTCATTATTTAATCCAAAAATATTTATCATTTATGAGAAATAATGTTTTTAATTACTATTTTAGAGATAAAAAAGTAATATTTTGGCACTTGATGCTAAATTATTACATTGCATTAATTATAGATGCATTAAAATACCCGGAAAACTTCTCAATCTATTTCGATTTCTTTATACAATTAATGTCCGTGTTTATAAGAAGGTGGTTATAGTAAAAAACATACAATAAGACATAATATAATTGTATAGCGTTTATATGGCGTATACTATTGTAATAATTTGCATAGGCACCCACCCATCTTGTTATTTTTCTATGCTGTTCAAAAATTCTATAAAGATACATTGATTTGTTTTTAAATTAACTGATACTAAATTGTCCTTGTTATAAAGTATATTATTTACATATATTTTTTAATGCTAATTATACTTACCTATTATAGTATATAAAACGGTCGTGTCACGATAAAAATATTAGTAATTAGCACGCACCATGATTGTTATGTAAATTAAAATAAAGTTTATAATTTACTAAACGTGTAGAGTTTAATTAGTACTTTTTTATATCATAATCATAATTTTATTATGTCTTATTGTTATTAATATAAAACAATAAATTATGGTTTTGGTAAACTTATTCTCTCTTGGATTAGCTTTTATTTTGAAACAGACAGCAATCGGTGAATCTACTTAATGGGGTCAAATCGCAAATCACTGTGACTTCATTTGGTGTTCCTCAATTTGGCACAATATTATCCACCCTTCTTTATTCGCAGTTGGTAAATAATCCACCCTCTACATTGTATCATATAAAAATTCTAGAGTTTGTTGATGATGTTAAGCTGCTCATGAATATTCAATCTACTCTTGATTGAGTTATATTACAGACAGATAAGTATCCGTTGGTAAGTTGGGGTAAAGGTCTCAGCTTTAAACGTTCATAATATATAATAATTAAAAATACCAAGTAATGACTTTCAAACGTATTGTAAATTATACTAAATTCATCTATACTACTAATGATTTCACTACTCAAATTTCTGTTGAATCAGTTTTTGATATCAATTTGTAGGTCTTAGCAAATCGAAAATCGCTGTTTGGTCTGATCAGTCTATCAGATCGCGTTGACAAAAAATTCATATAACGTTTCTTGATAAACTTATATCTAGTTTTGTTAAGCTTACTACCCTTATATAAGATATAAATAAATAAAATACAATAAATAAACGACCTTCGAATTTAAATTAATTAACAGTTGTATAATTTACAGCTCGAATGCCAATTATTATCCCTACCATACCGATAAAACGATATTTTTTATACGATTTTTATATCTCTAAATTATATTATTGCAAAATTAAAAATTCAAGTTATTCGAAAGTTTTTATTTTCACAGACTTATTGATCACAATCAATTTTAAGACTTTTGCTTCGTCAATCTCATAATTGAACGAAAAGTGTTATTTATTTCGGAATGTATAAAGTCCTCAAGCTTTAGTTCCTTACCCAACCCGTACT